GGTGCCGGGCATTGTTAGTGCGCTTGGCTCGTGCCAACGAAACGCCGGGCTGGGCCATCAGCATCTTCCGTAGGCACAAGGCTGGGGCCTCTCCGAGGGCACGCAGTGACGGAGCTGCCAGGTTCCCGTTTCAGAGGGGCAGATCGCTTAAGCACCGATAAACACAATTCCAGCTCCTCCCCTTCTCTTTAAATTGCTCCTCGACGTTAAGGCCAGGGGTGGGTGGGCTGAGGAAGGTGCTGACCCGAGTACGCTCGCTATGGTGCGTTACGTTGTGCCCACACGCGGCGTAGCCGGGGGGCAGCGTGAGCAGAGCCAGCGGACATCGTTTCTCCTACAAGGGGAAGTTACTCGATCCCATCCCCGCTGCCAGGTGATTGTTTTTGGAACTTGTACACACACACACAACCCCCCTCCCGGGGCCATGTGAGAAACGCGCGTGTGGAGCTGGGCAGCGAGTTGTGCCCGACACGCAGCACGGGGGTGAGTTCACAGCACTTGCCTGTGGAAGGGCGAGCAGCTCACAGCGTACACGGGCCCAGCGTGTGGGGAGAAGGCTCCGCCGGCGCCCTGAGGGGAACAGAACCGCCCGTCCGGTGGAGAGCCAGCGCCTCTGCCGCGGTGGAGCACTTCAGGGAATAGCCGCCTTCCACGCCGACGACGAACACGCGGGGGTCGAAGCGTGAAAAGGAGAGCGAGGTCACACCCACGGCTGCCTCTCCGCAGGCGAGCTGGGAGAAAGACAAAGGCGTTGTGAGAGCCGGGGCTCCAGCGGATGCACACGCGGTCAGAGCGCGAACCGGCCTGCCAGCGCCCCGACGGGTTGCTCACAACTTGCACCAGCTACGGCATCCGTAGCACTGCTCAGCCTTCAACCGCTGCAGCGGCCTCCTGCAAGGGGGCTCATGCGTTGTTACAAACCAGTTCTCCGTCCCAGCAGCTTCTCCTTAGAGCACGGCAAAACCTCGGCGGCTGCCAGTCTTCCAAGGATTGATTTCAGTATGGAAAAGGAGCTGGGACCGAGGGTTAGTGTGGGTGTTCAAAGGGCCTTTCCCAGCCTGGCGCGTGTGAAGCGTGAGCTCAGTCACGCGGGCTGCAGAATTAGGAGTGTTTTTGTCAAATCAGCCCTCTCCGAAGGGCTGAACTCACCTTCAGCCGAGCGCTGCGTGGGATCTGCTGAGCCACCACGGCGAACCCTTCGGCCAAGGCCAGCCGACCATCTCGCTCCTCCCTCCACACCAGGATCTTTCCATCCGTTGACACACTCACCAGCCGGACGTGGTGCCCGCGCGTGGCGTCAGGTAGCCAGTCGACCTGTTCCAAATGCCGTGAGCTCGTGAGGAGGGGGACTGTCCCACCCACGCTCGGCAGCCTGCGGGCCCCTGACCTGTTTTGGCTGGGGCAGAGCTGTTGGTTTTCGCAGCAGGAGGGGGTTGAGAAGGATGCTGACAGCACACTGATGTTTGCAGTTGTGGCCAGGGATCTTGGTACCAAACCAGCTTCTACTGGGAGCTGGTGCTGGGAGAGAGACATGGTCAGGGGTCCAGGGCTGAATTCTGCACTGCTCTTTCTAGGCTTCACCTGCCAGCCCTTTCGAGAGGTGTTTATAGCACCCCGACCCTGCTGCAAACAGCAGCATGTTCCTGATTTCAGGGAAGGAAATACAGATTGCCCAGAGTCACGGTACCGCAGAAGGACAAACCCACCAGGAATACAGCCTGCGTGACAAGTTGTGACCCTTCGTGTAGCTTCAAGCTTCCAGCTACACATCAGCGATGCTCTGCCGCTGACATTCTTAAACCACGACAGCGACTGTCGGCTTCATCCACGTCGAGCAGCAGTTGCACCGTGGGAAGGGGCCTGCTCTTCGTTTACCCTCATCCGTGAGAAGCTATTCCGAAATGCAAGTGCCCCGTTCCACAAATGTTCAGTAACCAGATGTGGGGACAAATAGCCAACCCCAAGAGAACAGAACTGCTGAAAGACACTGGTCTGTCTGGGAGCCTCAGGTAAAGCACCAGTAAGGTGAGAACTAAAACTACGAACCAGAGCAACGGCAACGTTCCCCCTCGCTCCCCCCCAGCCGCCTCTGCTGTAGGTGTTGGTACCTGATAGACTGGATCCGTGTGAGTGTCGTCTGTCATCCCCGTCCTCCAGACCACGGGGTCTTCTGCTCTGCTGGTGTCCCACACCATCACCTCCCCACTGAACAGGCCACCTCCAAGGACAAAGATAAAACCTGTAAGGTCTGACCGCTCGTGACAAAGGAAGCGATGGTGGAAACGGGCCCGGCAGCAGCTATACACAGGGCACGGTCAGCTCTGGAGGGAGTGTCGTCTGTCATCCCCGTCCTCCAGACCACGGGGTCTTCTGCTCTGCTGGTGTCCCACACCATCACCTCCCCACTGAACAGGCCACCTCCAAGGACAAAGATAAAACCTGTAAGGTCTGACCGCTCGTGACAAAGGAAGCGATGGTGGAAACGGGCCCGGCAGCAGCTATACACAGGGCACGGTCAGCTCTGGAGGGAGAGCATATAGCTTTTTTCGCTCTTCCCATGTACACCCAGGGCTGAACTTCCCTCTATCATCTCTCTCCGAGGAGATGATATCAAGGCAGGTGCCACTGGAAAAGCAGCAAGTCCCCACCCAGAAGCAACAGTGCACTGATTGATGTTGGTGAGCAGCGGTTCCCCAGTCTGAGGAGCTGCAACAGCATTACTTCTACAAGAAAGCTGAGAGAGGGAGAAAACGATCCAAGCTGAAGGAAACAGGTTACCTTTCAGACAGGATGTAAGGTGAAAGCAACCTACCAGCCACCAGTGAAGGCTGGGAGGGGTGGAACGCCAGGCACATGACGGAACTGGGAACATCCACCACTAGGTCGGGGCGCTGTGGATTCAACCCTCTTCTGTCCAGATTCCAGGTACAGACGTAAGATTTGTCTGTGCTCCAGTTCCCATCGTCCAACCTGAAGAGGAGAAAGCTACGTCTTGCCTTGTCTGTTCCGCAGAGAATCCCAGCCCAGCAGAGCTCTGCTGTGTCCCATTGGCCATTTAAACCTGCTGCTTTGTGGCTTGAAGGAAAACTGAGGTGAAGGGATCATCAGGTGATGGAACCTCTCTGCAGGCTGGAATATTTACAGTATGTGTCTGTACTTACGGAACAAAGTGCCTGCAAGTAAATCTCAGCTGTGAGTCGCTATTCCAAGACTAAGCAACCATTCAAATAACGGGAACAATCTAAAGGATGCGCACAGGAACTTGCTGTGAGTATTGAGGAGTGAAAATCGAAGGAGACCAACTGGCTGATGATTTGAGCTGCAAGCCACGCTTCCTCTAAGCAAGCCCTTGGAGATCCAGGGTCTGAGGGTACGCAGCGAGGAAATATCCTGCCTGGAGGACCGAGAGGGGCTGAAAAGACTGAATCTTGCATGACTGGAGAGAAGCAGCACGATTTGAAGTCCAGGTGCCTCCTCAGGCACAGAGAACATTCTTCACAACCATGGAATGGTGTCAATGACCCTGCACACACCCCTCAGCTCTAGAGATTTCCATCCAGTCTTACACCCATCATACTTGTTTGCCACAAGTGGCTCTTGAATTAGGTCTCTAGGATGCTAAAAGATACCTGCCATGCTACTTCCTTTGTTATTTCTGTTTCGTTGACCACACACTGACCAAAACATTACAGGTATTCTGTCGCTGGCACCACGCTGACCAACGCCACGTCCCGTCTTACTACAAGGAGACAATACAGAGGTCAGGGCTACAGGACAGTCAGTGGCCAGGACAGGAAGCAATGATTTTAGCCTGACTTCTCCTGCCTTTATTTGATGCTCTTAATTCTTTTATGGGAAGAGATGTGATCAAAGGAAAGGAGCAATTTTGTATCCAGTGGGTAGTTGAGCTGTGAAACTCCCTAATGGATGTTGCAGGTGTATTACAGGATGTTACTATGAGTTTACACAGATTCAGAGAGACCGCATGAGTTCAGGGATGGGAATTCCTCTGAGGGTAACCACAGACACAGAAACCACATTCTAAGCTAAAAACAGCTGTAGACTGGGAGAGAAGAAGGGACAGGTAACATACAGGTTTGCCCTGTTTTGCTCTTCCCTAAGCATTCACTCACGGATCCCCTTTTTGCTGGAGCTTTTAATCTAAGGCAATGGCAGCGGAAGGAAAAAGGACCAAGGCCAGCAGTAGGGCACAGAAAGAGGAGGCTGCTACAGACATTCAGTGGATTAGATGAAAGTTTTGCCCACCCCTCAATTCCTGAATCCTTAAATGTTTCTTGGCACATGCCCATGGCACCAAGCGTGCTCGTGAATGGGTGCCGGGTTCTTCCAGGTGCTCAGGGACCACGTTAAAACAACCCAATCTTCAACCAAGAGAAGCACATACTTCCAACCCTCCCCCACATCTATTTGCAAGTGCATCTGCTCCTTACATTTTCTCTCCAAATAAAATCTGTAGAAACAAACCAGTAAGAGTATCTGTATCCATTTTTGGGGAAGGTAGAAGAAATAAAAGCCATAATTTAAGACTGAGATTTTGGCTTTTTGAATATGAATTATTTAACTTGGATAAGGTGTGTGTATATACGTCTAGTTTATTCCTGCAGAGAAAGTGAACGTGTCTGAAACTCTGGTCAGCTTGAGACATCACATCACCCTCAGCTGTGCTCTCAATCCATTCAGACACTCACCGGCCGTACGAACATGCCACAACGGACCCGGTTGCATTCCACGAGACGCTGGTAACCTGTAGGTTTCGATCCCGAGCCTCCGGGTACGACAACGTATGCAAGCACACCACCTGGAAGAGATCAAATTCACCCACTGAAGCAATAATCTCCAAACCGAGAGGAATGAGATCTGTGCATGCCCCTGCATAGGATCGCACGGTTGCAGCAGAGGCTTCCCCTCTGTCCAACCAGAAAAAGGTGTTGAATTCCTACTGGGAAGAAAACCCACATCACATGACCCTACCACGCCGCCGCCTCATCATTACCTCTCGCGCTTCAGGGGCTGCAGGACAACAGGCTGTGGTGTAAGGATTTATGGCAGCCTGCAGGTATAGTTCTAGCACATTGTAAGCTAAACAAATGTAACCTAAATAGCTGCTGAATCACTGACTGCAGCCATTCCTGGATAACTGCAAGTCGGGCACGCTCTAACGGGGCTGCGGAAGCTGACGGTAGGCCTACACCAACTGCAGGCTTCCTTCTGACAAAGCTGCTGCGACACCGTCACTAGCAGGGGTAAGCTATTTACCAGGCCAGGCCATGCCACGCCACAAGCAAGGGAGGAAGCTGGAGGAAAAAATTACTAGTAATTTCTAATTATTGGAATCTGGCAAGAACAATCACATTAGTAAGAAACAGAACTAATGAGTTAGAGCCACAGCAAGCAGCTGTGTTTGGGTGATGACAAGGTTCTGAGTTCTGTCAACTTACTGTTTCATTCTGATCTGTCCAATTCACTTCAAAGCCATCAAAGGCACGGCTTTTCCAGTTTTTATTTAGCTCCTTGATAACAGCATCCTCCACTCTCTGCAGGAATGACAGAAGGTCGGTGTAATCTACTTGGACTTCTTGCTGGAAGCCTTGGACAGCATCTCCGCTTTGATCCGTCTGCACACCGGCATCTCGGCTAGTATGAGACTGTACTGCAGTCTCTGCTGTTGAAATCTTCCCAGTCTGGCAGCTTTTCTAGTAAAAGGAGACAGACACTCTGTAACCCAAACAGAAAACAGAGCGCTGCACCAAACATACAGAGCATCTCCCCCCCACCTTGGCATTTCATTGAGACGTTCAAGCACATCTGCACACCTCTGGCTCATGGCTAAAGCAGGGTGCCCCCGTAATTGTCCGGGTGTCGGTGATGTGACTGTCACACGAGCTGCTGGGGGACAGAGGCGCCTGAATGTCAGCCGGAACCCGGCCACACGCTCGACAGCGCGGGATGGGGAGGGTGAGAGGATCCAGCTGAAACAGCGAACACGCTGACAAGCGCAGCTTTAGCAGCAGGCGAATCACCCCCTTTGTGGCAGCTGCACGTGTTTGCCAGTGTATATAAGGGAGTGAAGTCGGTAAAACACCGCGAAGGGGGCGGAGCCGGCAGGTACCGGCACCCCAGGAGCGCGCACGTCAGGGCCTGGCCACCCCTTCGGCCGGACCGCGGGTAGGGAGGGCGGTAGGTGCGGCCC